GTCTCTGTTCTTCATATTCTTTTTGATGAATATCAGGTGTATATCTGTGTGGTTGAAGTATTGGTTTTGTCCAGTATTGAAATGGATCAAAAGAAATGGCCATTTAAGAAGCAGATTGCATTATTCTTTGGATGCTGTACTCAAAACTGTGAGTAGGGGGAAAAAGTTGTTTTGCAGGAAAGCAGTGCTCTGTATTGTAGCTGGGTGGGCTCTGGCATCAGTATGAAAGGTGGACAGAAGTGAACATGTGGCAGCAAGGATGCTTGGAGGAGCTCATTGCAGTAGTTGGAGTAAGAGAAGGGAAACCTGAACTCATTGAGTTGAAGATGGAAAAAGAAGGGATAGATGGTAAGTAAAAGAACATTTAGTGGTAGATTTGCCACATTTTGACTATTTGGGGATATACTTTATTTCCCCACATTATACCATCTCTGGAGTCTGGTTGTATTTTATAAGCCGTGGCATCTTACAGGGCTTCCTTTGTGGCTCAGCTGGTAAAGAATCCGTCTTCGATGCGGGAGACCTGGGTTTGATCCCTGTGTTGGGAAGATCTCCTGGAGAAGGGACAGGCTACCCACTGCAGTATCTTACATTTTTCATCCTTTTTTCCTGGTGATATATAAGATATGGATATATCTTAAAATCCCTGGCTTTTTAGACTGATACATGATACCAGAATTTGGTGCCAGATTGGATGGTGAAGGTGAGTAAAAAGGGTGAGTCAGAGACAGCTCTGAGTGTTCTAGACCAAGGGGTGAGCTGGAGATGCCATTAACTTAGACAGGACGGAGTACAGGAGCGGGGTGAGTGTGTGGAGGCTGGGCTTGTCTTTGGGCACACTGTGGTCGGGCAGCTTTAAGATCCCTACGTGGAGTTGGCTTCTGGGCATGTGACTGTAGTCCTTGTCTCCCTCCCCCCACCCTTGTTTCTTTTCTTTGCCTTTTCTTTCTTTTCTCTTGAGGAATTGCTAAGTGGAAGTCTCTGTGCTTACATCTTTATATTATTAAATCTTGAACAACAGCTGAATGAAAAGTGTACTAGATTAAATCATATATTTCAGAACAGGAAACTGATGCCATTGTTTAACTAACGGGCTAATCCGAAGTCAAACAGCTCAATAAGTAGTAGAGCTGGAGGCGGCCCCAGGTTTCTTTTGAAGCCTAAGCTCTGCCACTTACTGAGATCCAGTTACAGAGGCTTCTCAGAAACTATTACTGTAGAAAAGATGGTAACACTGTGTAATACATGAGATTGAGAGCAGATAGAACTTTGTCAGGTAAGATGTCCCAGGACAAGACTTTAGGGCAAGCAGCTGGACCACCTCCTGTAATTTGACTGTGAGCATCTCACTTTCCGCTCCTCTTCTCATCACACCTACTCCTCCAGTGTTACTTCAGCCTTTTCATGTCATCGTTGACACTCACAGACTCAACAGTGTTTGACCATCCTGCTCCATACATGACCCTAGTAAATGTACTTTCTTACCGTTCAAAATAATTGCTTTAATCTATTTTCTCCAGTTGATATTCTTCCCTGCTTCCCACTTGCAGCTGGTAATCTCACCTCCTATTTGATGACAAAGTATAAGTAGTTGAGTTCTCTCATCTTTCCATCAACAGATCTTCCATCCTCTTTGTGTTTGTTCTTATAGCCTTGGTCTTTCTTCCCTTTTGTTAAATTGAAAGATAGCTCCTCACTCCATATGAGCCACAATCTCGCTGCTTGTGCTTTGGATCTCATTCCCCTCTTGACTGCTTGGCAACGTTGCTATCTGTGGCTCTGATCCCTCCCTGTCTTCCTCCATCATTAACTAATACCTGCTTTTTTTACTGTACCATCTGCATTATCATTCCTTTCCGTGGCCACATTTCATCCTCTCTCCTTTACAGCAAAACATGAAAGATGACCTGCCTGTAGTCTCTGTCTTCATTTCTTCACTTTTCCTTGTCTTGCACTCTCGAATCAAGTTTCCATCCCCACTATTCACTGGAAACAGTGCTTGTCAATTACAGACCACAGTGATTTCCATGCAGTTAAATCCTGTGGTCAATTCTCTGTCCTCATCAAATTCAGTCTCTCTTCAACATTTGACATGCGTGACCACTCTTGACAAACTTCCTTGTGTGACACCATGTTTTCCTGTCCTCCATCACAGGCCCCTCCTCCTCATTTCCCTTTTCCAGTTGCTCCTCCCCTTCCTCTGTGTGCTGGAATGTATACTGTTCTGCCCATGCAGGGGATCTTCTCCAGTGCTGTGCCTTTAAATGCCATCTTTTCTGCCAGTGATCCTCAGACCTTGCCTTGTCCATTTAAAAGCCAGGTTGGTATCACAAACTTAACAGACCAAAGCAGAATTCTTGATTTCCACCATGTGTGAGGACTTCTTTTTTGCAGTGAAAGTTGCTCAGTTGTGTCTTGACTCTTTGCGACCCATGGTCTGTAGCCTGCTAGGCTCCTCTGTCCATGGAATTCTCCAGGCCAGAATACTGGGTAGCTGTTCCCTTCTCCAGGGGATCTTCCCAATCCAGGGATTAAACCCAAGTCTCCCACACTGCAGGCGGATTCTCCACCAGCTGAGCCACCAGGGAAGCCCAGGAACACTGGAGTGGGTAGCCTGTCCCTTCTCCCGGGGATCTTCCCGACCCAGGAATCAAACCAGGGTCTCCTGCATTGCAGATGGATTCTTTACCAGCTGAGCTACCAGGGAAGTTTTTAGTTTGGGGAGATATTTAATCTTTGTTATGAGAGCATTTACTTAGAAAATACCAATTAGAAAATGCCATCTAATATGGAGTGGAAGAGTGTTTGAATCCCCTTAATATGCACAGTTTTATGTTTTCACCTTTGACTTTCATCCATTTTCAGATGAGTTAATGACTAAAAACAGAAATAAACTCACTGCCCTAAAAGTCCAAGGAGATAACTGTTAACTAGCCATCTTAATTTGGGGGTACATATCCAGCCAGGAACCTTATAGGAACATGGAGTATGTGTGTGTGTCTGTGTGCCTGTATTTGGGGAAGCTACCCGATAGGCATACTAGCATCTTCCTGGTACTTCCTTTGAGAATTTTTTGTTCTGAAAACATTTCCTGACTTAGGGATAAGATTAAAACACCCTTGAATGTGTTATGGTCTGGACTTCAGAAACAGATGAATTTTTAGAAAAAACTAACCTTCAGAGAGAGTTCAGGTTTGTCTGCCTTTTGAGACTCTGACCAGGAGTACCTCCCAGATGAGGACTCACTCCTTGTTGTTGGTAGGAGCGCTTTGGAAGGAGTGCTGTGCTTCATGGTCTTACTTTGTTTGAAAGTCTGTCTGTCTGTCTGTGTTTTAATCAGCCCTATCAAATCAGTTGAACTCAATGAATTAGAATTGGTATTTCTCCAAGAGGAAGTCTAAATCTGTGCAGAGTTATCTGCTTTGTTTAGTTTTCTTCTGTTAGTGTTCAGAATCACGGGAGCATCTGAATGTTTGGAAAGCCAAACTAAACCCAGAGAGCTCTTTGCAGGGAGACTTAAAATGACTGCCTGCCTGGCATGGATCGTTGTGCATTTGTGATTTCTTTGAGGGTTGGGACCCCTTTCAAATCGGTGGGCAAGATACTCAGTATCCTTCTGAGGCAAACAGAGCAGCATCAGCGTTTGTGAAAAGTGGTTTGTGGTGGTTCTGCCTTTCATTCTCCTCCTCATTCCACTTTCCCTTGATCTTCTAGTCCCTAATGCAGATGGACTCTACAGTGGTAGTGTTTTTATTATTAGAACAAAATATTGAAAATGGCTATAAAGTATTTTGAGTCCCACGGTAAAAATATCACATAAATAAAGTGAAACCCTAAGCGTTTCTGTGTCCTTTTCTATTTTTGTTTTATCTTGTTACACTTGTGCTGTTTGAAGAATATTCAGTCATTATTCCCTCTGGCAAGTTCCCCAATATGTGGAATTTTAAATACTGTCTTAATAGCAATTACTTTATTCAGCAAACCTTTAGAGTACCTGTTGTGTACTAGGCTGTCCCTAGGTACTAGAGATTCAGAAGTGAATGTGATGAAGGAAGTTATTGCTCTTCCAGAGTTTCCATTCTAAAAGGGGAGATAAGCACAGATTTATAAGAAATATGTAAACAAATGTATAAAGTCAAGTAGAAAACTAAATCAGCTTCTTTCTTCTATTTTCTCTCTGATACAACAGCTACACACAGCCAAAACGAAACACTTACATCGTTAACCCCGAGCAAGCCACCTGATCTCTTCACCTTGGTTTCCTTATTTGTAAAGTATATTTACTGTTTATCTTTCAGGATTAGAGAGAGAGGATATGCATGGAAAACTCACTGTGAAATATAAGACACTATAAATGTAAAGTATTTGTACTTGATTACATTGAGTCAAAGATTTATTTATTTGATGTCCGTCAGTATTTCTGTCAGCATTGTTTGCTATTTAGATTGTAAACCACTTGAGTGTATGTCATGTCTTTTAGGGTTGTTTTAACTTTTGTGCCTCTGGTTTTGAGGGCATTCTTGTAAGATGTCAGTGCTAAATTGTTGATTGCTATTGTTCTGTAATATAGTGGAATGAATTGAGGGAAGGATTTCAAGCATCATATGGATGACTGGACTAAATAATCTTCAAAGAACCTTCTAGATCTGACATTTTATAATCCTTGACTAGAATAGTTGAAGAAAATTTATTGCCCCAGCCTTAATGGAACAAAATGCATTTTCTATTTGGCAGTAAGTGTGATTTGGAACAAAATAAAACCATTTCTTAATGTATCAGAAGTTTCCATCTCTATGACCAGATATCTAAGCTAGTAACTGTTATACGTGTGTAAGAAACTGTGGTAGCAGAAGCAGTGTTTTTATGAATATTAGATATGTCCTCTTAAAGCACCTACCGCTGTACTCTAGAGAAGCGATTTGTTTGCCCTAAGCTAAACCTGTTGAGATTCTGATTATGACTGTTGCCCTGTACTAAAAGTAGTGTTTCTTTTTTCAAAGGTACGCCAACCTGTCATATGCATCAACAACCATGTATTTTGTTCAGTTTGTATCGATTTGTGGTTGAAGAATAATAGCCAATGTCCAGCCTGCAGAGTCCCCATCACTCCTGAAAATCCTTGCAAAGAAATTATTGGTAAGGGTCTATTGTAAAAACACATAGAAACTGATTTAAAACAATGTTTAAATAGTGTCTGTTTGGAGGAAGACTGAAATAGACAACTTTTGGTGGTGTTATTTTGCCAGTATCATACTGGGTGGATTGATCATTTGGCATAATCTATATAAGTGGAGTAACTGAGGAGCATGAAGCACTGTGAGAAACCGCAAAGCCTTCTGGAACTTTGATTCTGGTAGAGGCTGTCCATGTAGATGACGATTAAAAAAAAAAAATTTATTTATTTATTTGGGTGCACCAGTTCCTAACTTCAGCCAACAGCTTAAAAAGCAGACAAACAAAAAGGCCCACAGAGTTCAAACAAGCTAGTTCAGCTGGGAACATGGAGAAAGGATTCATGAATCAGTGGCCTCTAAGATTTAAGGATAGATAAATATTCAGTTGGTGGAGGTGAGGGAGGCCATTTCTTGTAGAGGGAGCAGCATTCACTGCAGTTGGGAAACAGGAAAGTCTAGTTGGGTCTGACTGTTGAAATAAGACTGAAAAGGTAAATTAAGACTTTAGCACAGAGCATCTTGAGTGACAGACTAAATCAGGGAGTTGCTGTATGGGTGAGAAGGGTAAGGTGGGCATAATCCAAAGTGTGTACTAGGAATATTACTCAGGTGATGATACATAGTTTGGGCGCCAGGGGAGAAACAGGGCATGAGTAGGTCAGACTCTTGCCCAGGTGAGGGAGAATGAATCTGGATTAAGGGTATGAAAAAGAGCATTCAGTGCTACAGTCACATAGGTAAAGTGGGGTGGGGGGAAGGTGGCAGGGATAAAACTTGAGCTGGAAGATTCTTAGAAAATGAACCATTTAAAGAGATTTTATAGTGTTATTTCTTTTAGATTGTTAAAATGATTTTTGTTTCTGTTTTAGGAAAAATTGAAAGTGAATTGATGATAGCATGAATCATAGGGAAAAAACCTTTCATCTTTGAATAGTCCCAAATTAGGGAAAATGGACTTATATAAAATTTTTACAATAGAAAGGAAGATATATATGCTAGAACGAAAGAACCACCATTGGAACTTTGAAACTAAACAATCTGAAAGTGAATCAGAGGTGGCTCCAAGGTTTCTCTCTTGGGTACCTGAGTGAAGTCTTATAAAGGACTAGTTCTCTGCTGTGCTACAAACTGGAGTGTTAATCTCTCAGCCTCTACTTTTTTATTTGCACTGATCTTTACCAGGAGTCAGGTCTTTCCTTGCGGACTATGAGCTTTGTTGATTAAAGTAATTTAAATGTTTTTTCCCAGCTTCTTTTCACATCCCTTCTTTCTTCATTCATTTGTGTCTAAGTGATATTTCATAATTTCTCTGACGTAAAATGGTTCATCCTTCCTTGCATTTGGATGGAGTCCCGTGAAAAAGAACATTTGTAAATGCCTTTGTTATCATGATGCTAAGAAGTACAAAGAAGGTAACCACAGAATAAGTGAAGAGCTCTCAGGAAGAATACATTTGAGTGTGTATATGTGAGTTATTGTGTGCATACAATTAATGCTGTGATTTATAATCCATCATAACTGGGTTGTTAGTCAGTGAAAAGACACATTCATCTTTTCAGTTGTGTTACTAGTAACTTTATATATTTGAATACATTAGTTAAATAATATATATTATAATATATAAAGATAATATATTTGATTATATATAGATAATATTGATTTATACAACAAATAATATTTTAATTATACAGCTTATTGGATAGGTGTAATCACTGATTTTATCATTAACAGTTGTCTGGTATTCAAAATTTGCAATAGTCCAAATGAGTTAATAAAATATAGCCTTTGCCTTCATTGAGTTTAATAAGATACACAGGTAAGTAAACATAACATGATATTTTACTGAAGGTATTTCTGATGGTGTTACTTATTTTTTCTCAGAATTGAAGTATAGAAAAGGATGGCAGCACAAAGTGGATGTAAGAAAAAGGATAGGAATTAGGCTAGAGAACTACATAGAACAATAAGGAAAGGGTTCATTTTAATTTTCATTCTACCCAAATCAGAATGAAAGGTTAGATTTTTTTTTTTTTTTTTTTGGTCCCTATAGGAGGAACAAGTGAAAGTGAGCCCATGCTAAGCCATACAGTCAGGAAGCATCTTCGGAAAACTAGACTTGAATTACTCCACAAAGAATATGAGGTAAATACTAAGTAAAATGTTAAATGATGACAGCATTGAATTCTAGGTAAAACTGAGCTATCAATCTGGACTTCTTAGAGTAACTAGCCAATGAAATCTCATGTTAAATGCCAGTTTAAAAATATCTTATTTGATGAATTCTTTTTTCCTTTCCTGTTTCAAATATGGAAACTTTTTCTTGCTTTTAATTTTAAATTTGTCCTCAACAGAAACATCATTTTTTGGAGGTTAATTACTTTACAATATTGTAGTGGGTTTTGTCATACATTGACATGAATCAGCCATGGATTTACATGTATTCCCCATCCCGATCCCCGCTCCCACCTCCCTCTCCGCCTGATCCGTCTGGGTCTTCCCAGTGCACCAGGCCCGAGCACTTGTCTCATGCATCCAACCTGGGCTGGTGATCTGTTTCACCCTAGATAATATACATGTTTTGATGCTGTTCTCTCGAGACATCCCACCCTCGCCTTCTCCCACAGAGTCCAAAAGTCTGTTCTGTACATCTGTGTCTCTTCTTCTGTTTTGCATATAGAGTTACCGTTACCATCTTTCTAAATTCCATATATATGTGAGAAACATCATTTTTTAAGTTGCTCCATCAAGAAGTTGGGAGATAAAGGAAACTCTCATGTAGAAGTCATCAGTCTTCCAACCCCAAGAGGTGTTATGAATGCAAACAAGTACTATAACCTTCATTCTGTATTTGTTTCTACTTGTAAATTCACTGCTAATTATAAGTCTGATAAGTTCTGGTCAAGAAAATATACTTATGTCAGCTTCTGACAAAGAGATTTTGGTTTGAGATATGCTATTGCTTAATTCTTTTTTTTTATTTGGCATGGTTTAAAAAACATTTTTTAAATGTTTGTTGAATTTTTAAAACATGTTTAAAAAAATTAAGGTGTATATTTAAGGTGTACAACATGTTTTGATATACATATACATGTTGAAGTGATGACTTCAGTCAAACTAATTAGCATAGCCATCTCCTCACATAGTTACTGTGTGTTGGGGTTGGGGGGGTGCTGGTGAGGGCACCTGAAATCTACTCATTAGTGTCCAGTAGACGTACAATATTATTACCTATAGTCATCATTGCTATATAGTAGGTCTCTAGACTGTCTCTAGCTGCAACTCTGTACCCCTTGAACCATCTCCCTATTTCTCCCACCTCCCCATTTCCCCCACCTTCTATGCTTGGTAACCACTGTTTAACTCTGTTTTTATGTGTTTGACTCTCTTAGATTCCACATGTATGTGAGATCATGCAGTTGTTTTCTGCATGTGATTTGACATGCAGGTAATTTGACATGGTGATAGAATTTTTTCTAAATTAGCTTCATGCTAATGGATATACATACTTTTGAATAAACATTAAGTCCAGTTGTCATTTTATATTGACTAAATGGGGGATAATATTGCTCTCTTCCTTTGACACAAAATATCTTTAAATTACACTACATAATTGGAAACCAGTTCAGCTGCTTCAAAAATTTTTTGAAATAAAATAGGGCATAGATAAATGACTGAATAAATGTTCATTCATATGTGTTTTCTTGTTTATACTTATTTATTCATTAATTTATTCAAACAAGTAAAGCCCTTTTCTCATTTTATGATGCCATTTAACTCAAAACATTGTAATTTAAAATAGTAAATAATTCTGTGTTAACTCTAAAATGTATTCTTATTTATGTAATGAATATTTATCACACTAGATACTAATCAAATTAATGCTTTAGGAGATTGCTGGAATGTTGAAGTTTATTTTCTGAGAACAGAATTCCTAACAATTTTAGTTTAAGGTAAATATCCATTATAGATGAATAAATGGTATCACAGAAGAGAGTTATAGCCCCACATGTTTTGTTGCTGGATTCACGGTGGTTCTACATGGGAAAACTAATATTTGAAATAGTCACAGTAATAGTTTAAGAGCTAGAATGTAGAAGAGTTCAAAATTACAGGTATTATTCTGACATGGAAAGTGAAAGGATACGGTATATAGTTTTACTTCTATATGAAGCAAAAGAGAGACATCAGCCAAAACTGCAGATTTCCTTGATCAAAATGGTATTTTTAAATGCCCCTTAGTAAAGGAATTAAACATACCTCAGAATTTTCTTCTGAGGAATCTACTTCCTTGTTGAATTCATGTGACTTTTCATATTTTCTGAATATTTAAAATGGAATTAAAGATTTCATATTTTCATTTTTTTAATCATGAACGATCATTGAATTAAAAGCAATAGAGAGGCCAATTTTTATCAGTCAAAATACATTTTGAGAATTTCAGCTGTATGCGACTTTCTGTCTACAGAGTTATTCTGATGCATAAAGAATCTGTGTATCTATCTACAGGATTTTGAATGTAAATTTTACAAACACGTTGACTTCCGTCTAGCATGGGTATGTGTTTAGTGTCTGTGTCTACCTGATGGCTGTGCAATGCTTTTTCAGGATGAAATAGACTGTCTGCAGAAAGAGGTAGATGAACTTAAGAGTAAAAATCTCAGCTTGGAATCACAGATCAAGACTATCCTGGATCCTTTAACCTTGATGCAGGGCAACCAAAATGAAGATAAACTTCCAGTTGCAGATAATCCAAGTAAAATTGACCCAGAAACTGTAGCAGAGTGGAAGAAAAAGCTTAGAACAGCTAACGAAATCTATGAAAAAGTGAAAGATGATGTGGATAAGCTAAAAGAGGTAAGTTGTGGTTGTGTTTAAAATTCTGTAGTATTTTAAGTACCTTCAAAAGAATAAGTAGCCATACTATTTTGAGTCATCCTTTAGATGATTTGGGGAGAAGGGACAAATCCCTGGATGAGCATTTATAAACAATAAGAAAACTTTTTCTCCTTAAATCTTAAATAGCTGCCAAGAAATATCAGGTGGTCCCATTTGTGACTATAATTGGAGACTTTGTAGTGCCTCTGTTTGAATTTACATCTTCTTGTGGAAGAACGACATCAGTTTAAAGGTTGTGTTTTTGTTTCCCCTCTTTGTGATTTGGCTTCCTTTTTTTAAAAAGCTTATGTCAGTAACTGCCATGTATGCATAAAGACAGACCTGTCCGTTTCCCTACCTATAAAATGAAAGGTTTGGACCATCTTTTTTCTAGCACTCCCTTTCTCTGATGTTTTAATATTGTAAATAGTTAAAGACTTACTAATTCCAAGAGAACTGTGAGTGATGGCTTTAGACTACTCCATGTAAAAGAATATTGTGGCTGAGAGGCAATTTAATTTTTTCAGTTATTCTTCATCCAGGCAAGAAGATAGAGAAAGCATAGGTGAAAAGGGCAAACCTCTAGGATTTTCCAGTCTAGGAAAGGAGGTGAATTCCATGGCATCAGCGTTAGAGGTAATGAAGTGATGAAGAGCTGTGCTGGCCAGAGGGACTAGCCTTTTTGTCTTGGCTTCAGGTTTATCCACAGTGGAGGCCTCTTGTGCTGAACAGAGATGGGTTTGTGGTATCCAGGTTCACAGCCCCCTATTCAGCCTATCTGCATTCTCTTAAAATACTGTGCTGAACTACTGAATTGCACCTCCTGAAATCATTAATGCTCGACATGATATTTTAGAGGTGTGCTGCCACATCCCGGCTCTCTGATCCTCAGTGAGATTAAGAAGCAGAGAATTATCTACAATTAGTGTGAATATTCTAAGTCAAATTGCATACCCACATATAAAATAAATGCCATTTGGGCTCAGAGAAGGTCAAGATGAGAGAAAGTTGGGAACATAGTGCTTTCAGAGAAAAAAGAAACTATGGATGTAATTGCGCTGAGTTTGCTACAAGTCTAGGGGAAGCGTATTGTTCTCTGGTTTATAGTGGCCTCCATTTCTGTGTGTGTTTGAGAAGGGAAGAGGACATGAAAAGGAAAGCTAGCTGAGAAGTCACAGTGTTATCAATCAGCCGTGTCCTCATCAACTTTCCTTCTTGAGCTATCAGTAATTTCTGTATGGCCTCTTATATTATTGAATTTCACTAAAATATTTGGCAATAAATGCTTCTTAGAGCATGAAGATATGTATGAAAACTCTACTCTGAACTTATAAGAGTGGTATAAGGGAAAAAAAAGAGTGGTATAAGGGATGTATGTAAAAGAAAAATACATAAAATAAGATCATGTGTTAAATTTGATACCCAAAGCTACCTTGAGACCTCACAATTATTTGGGATACTTGAAAAGCCCATTTTGGATACCTAGTGAAGGAATTAGGTAGAACTAGGCAATACACTGGAACATAAACTAAAAAAACATGGACTACAGAGGCAAAACTAAAGTACAAAATAATAGCATACTATAAAACAAATATAGGAATATAGGAATTCTGAAGATTCAGAATAAAGGACTACCTAGATTGAGTGAAATGAACTTTTTCCCTCATGTTTCCAAGACAGTGAGTTTTGAACCACTATGAAGCCAATGTTGAGACTGCAAAGTATAATAGTTAGCTGAAGTCTTTATTACTCTTTTAGGTGCAACAAATAGGCAGAACTCTCCCCTTTGTAACTTTACCCATCCAGTTCTCCTGAACTTGAAAATATCTCTGATAATTGAGGGTTAGCCAGCCTATAAAGAGCATCTTAGAAAGCTTCAGGACTGGTGAGAGACCTTGTCAAGGGGGATAGGGAAAAGAAATCAAATGAGGTTCTAATTTAAGCTTGTCATTCATCATCAAAAAGCATTCACTAAGTGCCTCCTTTTACAGTGCTATGCTTGAGGGCTTAATTCATTGTGTGTGTGTGTGTGTGTGTGTGTATGAGGAAGTATATTACCTTTTCTGTGTCTTCAGAGGGGCAGTAATGGTGTTTATCAGTCACTTAAAGAATTAACTCTCCACAGTCCTGGTTGGTTTGCATCCATGAAGATAAGCAGGTACTCAGAATCCAAAAGGAACCTGGATACATCTGAGAGAGTTAAGCTTGGTGTTCAAAAGAGTGTCCTCTGTCCTGCTTCTCTTGTCACCCTCTTGGGGCATTTGTGTGTGGATGGGCAAGTAACATAGTCAAAAATTCTAGAAATTATTGGTCAGATTTTTAAAATCTGTTTTCAAATTTCCTTAGTTTAAACCTTTTTGTTGACAGTTGTTCTGACACATTGAATGTTAATAGTGAGACAATGAATTTCTCTTGCTAGGTTAGTGAGATTGTTTCCTAGCCTAGGGAGTCTTATTTTTTGTTGGAATTCAGAAACACAATGACTAGCGGATTTAAAAGAAGTTACTTTTAAGAAGATTCTACAATAGACACTCTACTTTTGGGGCTGCCCAGGATCAATATTGAGCCTCTAGATTTTCTAGCAATAAATATTTTGTCAGGCAGTTTTTAGGTATCATGCAACTCAAAAAAGGAAATCATACTTGGGATTAAAAAAAAAGATCAAAAGAGAATCCATACAATTTATTAGAAAATATTGATCCAAGAAGTTGTGAGCCAGAGCATTTGGGAAAGCCATTTTGAAGAAAGTAGGCAAGTAGTTTAACAATATTAGATATGTTATCATTAAAAACTTTTTAAATAGCAACCAAAAATCAATCTCATAGTGCAAGATACTTAACCATTAGTTTTGTGAATAATTGCTTATGGTATATTGTTACCATGCTTAGAGTATTCAGTTATGTGAAAAAGGAAAAAAAAAATGTCGTTAGTTTAGTCCCTTAACGACTCTAAGCTAACTAACATAGCTCTGTTTATTTCCCTGGATAGAAGATTTGCAAAGTGCTTGGGGAATTTGGATTAAAAATGCGTGATCATGTTCAGTTTCCCAAGTCATTCCCAATGGTGATTTTAAGTTTCTAAAGACATACTCTTAGTATTCAGTTTTCTCATACTGTTGCTCTAAAAAATACAGATGGCTCATGTCATAATTTTTACACATTTGTTTTTAACTTGTGCTTAATTATTTTCAACACTTTTTTTTTTTAAGGCAAATAAAAAATTGAAATTGGAAAATAGTGGCCTGGTGAGGGAGAATTTACGACTGAAAGCTGAAGTTGATAACAGATCACCTCAGAAGTATGTATTTTGCTCATAGAGCAATGTTTCAGGTTATGTCAATGTTTTAGAATAAGCTGCTGTTACATTATGTTTTTCACTGGATTCTTTGTTGAAACATGTAAGTTTAAATAGAATGTCTTACTTGTAAATGTCAAGTGTATATTTAGGTTATTGGTAAAATCTTAGTGAGGGGTTAATGCTAGTGTTGGAAGAAAGGATTTCCTTCTTATCATTTTCCTTTACCTAATTACCAAGAGGTTTGTTTTAGGTGACCTAAGACTGGTGAGCCTCCACTTGGTTTTACATATAACTGTTTAATGTTCCTAACAAAGAGTAGGGAGACTAACATGATGCCTTTTGGATATTTTTTGAAATAATCTTAATGATAGTTAAAATTCATCCATTGCTTTGTGTTTACCAGGTACAACAATCTGTGATATAGAACTACTACTATTCTCCATTTACAGATGATTAAATGGAGGTATAGAGATCAAATTAATTTTTCTAAATCTTCACAGCTAGTAAGTGGTGGAAATAGGATTCAAACCCAGGTAGTCTAGCCCCAGAGCTGTGATCTGTTACATTACACTGAAAGCTGTTACACTACTCATTACCCTAAAAAACCTATGAATTTAAGGCTTCATTTGTTGAATTTTGTACTGATTTGAACTGTACAATTAAATGAATTCTTTTATAATGGGGATATTTTCACTCCATTCCAAAAGATACGAGATTGCAACATATTGAACAGTTAGTTTAAAATGCTAAGAAACAGTTGAGAATTAAGACTTGAAGATTAAGAAAACATGAGAGAGAGCACTTGAGGTTGTTACTCTTCTAGGGGAAAAAAAAAAGACAAGTGAAAAGAAAATGTGGCCCCCACCCCTCTGAGGAATGGCATATCAGAACTCCATACTTTCTTCCTGTCCAGCCATTTTCTCCTTGTGGAAAAAGACAAGAAAGGCATAAACAAACAATGGAAATTTATCCTACCAGAGGTAGTTCTCTGCTTGTCATTTGAAAAGGAGAAAATATTGCCCTCAGTAAAACCAACTGTGGTGTCAGGAAATGGTAGAAGTAAACCATAATTCCTCAAAGCAGAGATAACTAGCCAATAGAGAAAGAAGCATAGCTTTTACTTTTAAATAGTTCCTTCCCCTGTGCTCTCCAGCCTCATTTTTCTTTTCACTTCAGATAATGTCCTACTTTGATGAATTAGTGAAATAAGTTTAGGAAGTGTTGCCATTAATATATGGTGGTTTGAATCTCTGCTCTTCTTATTTATTGGCAGCTCGCCTTGCCAGTCATAATAATGTTTGTCCATTAGCCATTTCCCACAGCAGGCTGAATGGAACTAAAGCCATTTTGTTCGTAGCTTTTATTTCTTGAAAAGTTGCCCACCAGATTTCAGATTTAGCACTAGCCACCAGGATGTTTTGTTTTTAAATATCCTTGATTCCTACCTGATAAACAACTGAAGAATCTCACCTAAAGAAACCTCACCTCTGTCAGTTCTCACAAGCAGTTACACTTCTGAATCTCATATAACTTTGGGATTCTCTGTCTTTAGCTTCCATTGCTTCCCTTCAGGGGAAGGGAACAGGTTCACTTAAAAAACGATTTGAACTGACCCCTGTTCCAGATCAATTTGCAATGCATTGAGGTATTAGAAGCATGGCATTTGATTTATAGCCTTGTTTACCTCTGCATCACCAAACCCTAGTGGGAGTCAGAGAGAAGCTGACCACAGCTGAAAATATCCAGATCTAGTTCACTTGAGGAACACTCTTAATTGTATTGAAAACAATATGAAATTTCGAGAGTTTAAAAGTAAATGCAAGCAAACAGAAGCCATCCATTCCATTTCATTTCCTTGATTAGGCAGTGCCTTGACCAATTACTTTTCTCCTCTACTTGGTTAGTTGTCAAGGTGTACTTTTTATGGCCTGAGTGTCTAATGTAGCTTTCAGGTTGTTCAGACATACTCTATGAATCAGGCAGAAGAGAGAGCTTTTAGATACTAGAGAGGGAAAAAAATTAGGAAGGTGTATTTGTTAGCTGGGCTGCCATAACAAATACTATAGACAGGGTGGCTTAAACATTGGATATTTATTTGCTTATAGTTCTGGAAGCTAGAAATCCCAGGTCAAGGTTCAGCAGTTTGGGTTTCTGACAAGGGGTCTCTTTTTGACTTGCAGTCAGCCACCTTCTCACTATGTCTTTGCATGTCAGAGAGAGAGTGTGTACTCTGGTCTCTCTTCTTATGAGGACACCAGTCCTGTTGGATTAAGGCCTCCTGTCTATGGTCTCATTTAACTTTAATTACCTCCTAAAGACCCTGTCTCTAAATATAGTCATACTGAGGGTTAGGGCTTCAAAAATGAATTTGGTGGGGGAGTGGAGGAAGAATGGGAACACAATTCAGTCCATAGCAAAAGGTATTTCTTTTAAGGACTTGCGTGTGTGCTCTGTTGCTTAGTTGTGTCCAATTCTCTGCGACCCCATGAACTGTAGCCCACCAGGCTCCTCTGTCTATGGGGATTCTCAGGCAAGAATACTGGAGCAGGTTGCCATTTCCTCCTACAGGGGATCTTCCTGACCCAGGGATCGAACCTGCATCTCCATGTCTCCTGCATTGGCAGGCAGGTTCTTTATCACTATGCCACCTGAGAAGCCCCCCTTTTAGCACAGTCGAGCAAATATCATGCTGTTGCCCCAAAACTAGACTACAATCCAGTGTGAACAAAGGGGACTTAGACATTTACATTGATTTCAAGTAAATAGTATTGTATAAAAGTAATGTATTTTATAATTTTTAAAAACAGTGGTATAATCTTTAAAATGAAATCTGGATTATCATTTATCTCCGCTGCTATTGTTTTTCTAGTCTAACTTTTACCCTCCATTATATTCAATCTCAATGTGTACCTGGATATTTTTCCTTTTTCAACTTTAGCTTGGAAACCCTTTTGTGCAGTGTGGCAGCTATCGCACTAAGCATACTCTTCTGGATTTCAATAATATCCATTCTGTTCTTTGTCAAAACTTCGTTGTCCTGATAGCTAAACTGGTGGTCCAGAAAAATGCAATTTTTTTCCTTGACTTGATGTAGCCACTTCCTGAGTTAGTCTCTCTCTTCTAATTTGTTTTACCTGAATAAAACCATCTGCCTGCCCTTTCGGTTTTCTCTAACATGGACTTCTAAGACTTATTTGATATTCAGAACTCAAGAGGTGGTGATAGTGTCCTTTAGTTTGCAAGACTGGTATATGAAGAAAAACCATTCTTCCAGCCAGCCCAGAAATACTGAACATGTATTTACTTGACAGTATCCTAGATGCTTTGAACTGTGCAAAATACTGTTTCTGACCTCGAAAGTTGGTTAGGTTCCCCTTACTATCTTGTACTTTCCCTTTTTAACACATAATCACAATTACTAATAATTAGTGTTTTGTGTATTTATTTCAATGGATATTAAAGTTTTGTGTAATTATTCCAGTGAATTCAACCAGTGAATTCAGAATATTCATTTGAAGGACTGAAGCTGAAGCTCTAATACTTTGGCCATCTGATATGAAGAGCCGACTCATTAGAAAAGACCCTGATGCTGGGAAAGATCTGAGGGCAGGAGGAGAAGGGGATGACAGAGGATGAGATGGTTAGATAGCATCCCCAACTCAATGGACAGGAATCTGAGCAAACTCAAGGAGATAGTAAAGGATGGGGAAGCCTGGAATGCTGCAGTCCATCGGGTCGCAAAGAGTCAGACATGACTTAGTGACTGAACAACAACAACTATTACTTATTACATATTTTTCTGAGTGAGGACTATAGTTTTATTCACTATTATAGCCATGCATTTTATAGAGTTCTGCTCCTAGTATATATATCTGTTGAGTAAATGAATAAAAACGTAGCTCCTGAGAGAATTCCCCTTCCATTTTGCCAAAGATTTAATGAAGAAATTGAGTAATTTTTCCTGTTCCTCTTCTCCATCTCCCATTTAATGGGGGATCCCAAGAGTGTCACACCTCCACATAGTAAGAAACAAAAATAAGAAGCTGAAGGAAGGTAGAATTGCGTTTCTCCTATTCCTAAACTGTGCCTAGAAGTGTGGATATATTTGTCCTTGATAGTTAGCAGTTCCTTAGTGATCTTTTAGCTTCAAATGTTATGAAGCTTATTAATGACTTGTAAAGCATTTGAAAGTATGATGCCCTCTCTCCAAGGTCACTCTGTTCACTTGTGCCATTCTTTTTGCTCTAGTCTCACTGGGCAGAGTTTGTGCCATGTTGCCACCTATTTTGAGGCTTAAACAGAGCAGCTGGCTTACGCCCTTAGCTTCTAACTTATGTTAATAGTGTAGGGTATGAAATATACATGTACATATACAAAATTTTGTATACATAGAGTTCCATAGGTCATTTAAATCAAACTTGGTTATAATTGGATTAATAATGGCTTTCCTTTCTATAAGTATGTATTCGGTAATGTTATTGTATCTTTAGTGAGATCTGTGGGTTTGATAGTGTTTCCCTGCAAGCATCATTTTTACTGCCCAGCAACCCTAAGACTTATCATTATGGATCCATTTTTACCCATGCCTCAGCAACTTCTGGAGGAAGATGAATGCTCCAGATACTCCTGGGTGGTGATCAGTATTCTATTAGGACATGAAAAGAAGTGTTCTGAGTAGGACAGAATAGACTTCATAAATCATAAGCTGTATGTTCTTCCCCTCTTGCTGTGTTTGTGTTCCTTGAGCCATCGCATCAGCTCCCATGGCTTTAATAATCATTTTCTTAATATGTCAGCGATTACAAAATAAAATCTAAGTCATTGGCCTTGCCTTTTCTCCTAAACTGTAGATTCATGTTTCCATCTGTCTATTTTATACTTTCACTCAAGATCCTATACCTTAAATTCACTGCAAAGCACAAGAGTTAAATAAATGCCTAATTCTGGAGACAGACTACCTGGTTTCAAGTTTCCCTTCTTCCACTCTCTCCTTCCCCTAC